TTCCCAAGGTCAGGCCTCTGCACGGCCACAGGAGCAGCGCACCTGCCCAGGCCTTGCTGACGTGCTCTGATTGCAGGGAAAGGGCCCCGTTTTTCCGTCCTTGCTCCCCACGTCGTCCCACTTGAAAACCTTTGTGCTCCCGAGTTCAGCGGAAATCCCCACCCTGTCAATTTAATGTTTCTGCTCGCTGCCTAAGAGGCGTGAAAACACAGCCTGCCACCCAACATTCAAGGGCGTTTTCCTTGAGCGTGTAGATGGTGATGCCCCAATAACTTGTGACTTAAAACAGATGGTCGCCAGCGCCGCTGTCAGGTCAGTCTCTGGGCCGTCACAGATCGGCCTGGCTAATGAGGGGGACGGGCCTGGGCGTTAGGCCGCAGACAGCGACGTCCACTGAGCTGGCCTGGTGAGGTGGCCCTCTCCTGGGAGAGGAGCTGCCCCCTGAATAGGGCTCTCCCCTCCAGCAGCGGCAGCTACTTCCTGAGGCTGCACAGCTCCGGGAAGGCCGCCCTGCACAAAATCATATTTACTTTCACCTGTTCCTGGCTTAATTACATGTTTTTGCTTTACTAACATCTTTATTCATTATTTAAAACAATTTTCAGAAATAACGACGCAATAATCCCCTCCCCGCCGTGCGGCAGCTGTTTGCCACGCTGTCTCGGGCCCGCACCCCTTTATTCCAGCTTGTCGGTACTCAGCAGGGTTTGGACGTGGCGGGCGAGATGTGTGGTGCGGCATTCCCCTGGGGTGTGGCGGTGCCGGGGACCTGCTCAGAAAGCCTGCACGATCCACTCTGCCCTCGACACACGAACACTCTCATATTTTACTTTGCGGTTTAGCATAATTTCATGCACGCTCTGCCGCGTAGCTCCATAATCTTCCAATTTATCATTTTAATGGCTGCTTAATATTCCATCCAGTTAACGTGCCATAATTTACTTAACTGTTGCCTATTGTTGGGGCCTTAATGAAAATTTGAATTCACCGTGTAATACAAGGGAAGGCTGGATGGAGTGATTGCCATCGGAACAGCCCTGCCCTAACCGCACGCGTTACCAGCCTGGCTTTGGTAGCGTGCAGATGCTGCTGGAACAGTGAATCTTGGAGGAGAGGGGTGTGCGCAGGTCCCTCTGACCCAACAGCACATCTGTCTACAGCACGTGTTTTCCTGTTGGGCTGCTGTTTGCATGGGATGCTCATCTCTCCTGGGCACGGTGCTTTCTCCCTGGAATCTGGGATAAGGAGTGGCTTCTGGCTGTTGAGTTCTGCTTCGCTTATCCCACCCACGCCTGCCGAGCATCTGTTCAGGACAGGGCTCTGAGTGAGAGTGTGGCAAATGTGTGTGTGAATCGCTGCGTGGTGCTGGCCTGTTTGCGAGCAGGACGGTGTTTTACCCAGGGCAGGGCCTCGCCAGCTGTCTGTCCAGCAGCCACAGCCCTGGGAATCCTCCCGACAGCAGGTGACACTTCAGAGCCAGGGGGTGAGCAGTGCTGACCGCCAGACCTCTGCAAAGCAGCTCCGTGGAGACGTCAGTAGATTTACTGATTTACAGTATGTTGGGGTTTTTTTCCTTAAGATTTATTTTATTTATTTGAAAGACAGAATTGCAGAGAGGGAGAGAGATACTCAGATCATCCATCTTCTGGTTCATTGCCAAGATGGTCACAATGGCCAGGGTGGGCCAGGCCAAGGCCAGGAGCCAGGAACTCCATCTGGGTCTCCCATGTGGCTGGTCCAAGGACTTGGGCCATCTGCCTTTGCTTTTCCAGGAGCATTAGCAGGGAGCTGAATCGGAAGTAGAGCAGCCAGGACTCAAACTGGTGCCTCTATGGGTTGCTGGTGTCGCATGTGGTGGCTTAACCTGGTATACCACAGCACCGGTCCCTATAGCATCTTCACCTTAATGTAGCAAAGTTCTACCTTGGTGTAGTTCTTGTTTCTCATCACCTCTTCCTCCCTCTGCACAGAAAATGCCAGGCTTCTCACTTGGCCCAATAGAAGTCACGTTTTGCCAAGGTCTGGGGTATCTCACAGAGACGTGATTTTAGGGCGCCTGAGAATCACACTGTGAGGGTTTTCCCTTTTCACTCTGTCTAGAGAGAGAAAATTATTCTTTGCCAAGCGAAGTGTCTCCCCCCAGCTCTCCAGCCCTTGCAAATCTCCCTTTTCAGCAGGGAAAAAAGCAAGTCCCTGGCCCCCTCCCAGCAAGCACCACCGACTGGTTTTGTTCTCATTCATTCTTTGTATGTGAAGCATCTGTTTTGTTTCACGGGGCACGGGGGGCAGGGCGGGGGTTCTTATGTGCCCTCTGAGCTGGCCTTGGATCATAAAGCCCGGCCTAAAAGCTCTGTTCTTGCTCAGAAGGGCTTTGTCCCTCCCAGCTCGCATTAGCTGTTCCTCAAGGCACATACCCCGTGTGGGCTTCTGCCATGTCCTTAAGCCATCAGGACTCCTGATTGAGGGAGCTGAAAGGGCTCAACTCTCAACACCCCCCAACACACATTTAATGAAGTCTCACTTCCACACCCTCACCTCCTTGTGCAACCTCGTGAGTGTGTCAGTGCCACCTCCTTGGACCTGGTGTTCTAGCCCAGGTGGACAGTGAGCACCCATCCAGTGGCATGTTCCTCAGCCTTAGCCAGAAGGGGTTCCAGCACGTGCTGCTGCAACACGCAAGAAACTCAGAAACATCACACTAAGTAAGACTAGCCTGGGGCCGATGTTGTGGCGTAGCAGGTGAAGTTGCTGCCAGAGATGCCAGCATCCCATATCCCGGCTGCTCCACTTCTGATCCAGCTCCCTGCTAATGCTCCTGGGAAAGCAGTGGAAGATGGCCCAAGTGCTTGGGCCTCTGCCACCCACATGGGAGACCCAGCTAAAGCTCCTGGCTTCAGCCTGGTTCAGTCCTAGCCACTGTGACCATCTGGAGAGTGAACCAGTGGATTACAGCCTGCTCGCTCGCTCGCTCTCTCTCCCTAATTCTTTCAATTAAAATAAATAAATATTTGAAAGAAAGAAGCTGTCACAGCTGCACAAATACCAGATTCCACTTGTAAGAGGCAGTTGGAGGTCCAGCGCTGTGGCTCACTAGGTTAATCCTCCGCCTGCGGTGCCAGCATCCCATATGGATACCAGGTTCTAGTCCCGGTTGCTCCTCTTCCAGTCCAGCTCTCTGCTGTGGCCCGGGAGGGCACTGGAGGATGGCCCAAGTGCTTGGGCCCTGCACCCGCTTGGGAGACCAGGAGGAAGCACCTGGCTCCTGCCTTCGGATCGGCGTTGCTCCGGCCATAGCGGCCATTTAGGAGGTGAACCAACAGAAGGAAGACCTTTCTCTCTGTCTCTCTCTCTCTCTCACTGTCTAACTCTATCTGTCAAATAAATAATAATAATAATAAAAAGAGGCAGTTGGAGTGGTCAGAGTCAGACGGGAAGTACACAGGCATCCAGAGCTGGGAGGGGGCTGGGAAGTCAGTATTTAGTGATGGAGCTTCTGTTTGGGAAGACGATACAATCCGTGAGGCAGACAGGAGCAGCAGTTGTGCAGCCTTGCGAGTGCATCCATGCCACTGAATCGCGCCCTTTGTTGAGGCTAAAATGGTGAATGTCACGTACATCACCACAATAAAACCTCAAGAAGGTGGTGAGCATGTTCCTCCATTTGCACGCCCGGTCCTCCCACAGGCCATGCCGGCCCCTCCTGTCGGCTGCCAGGCCATCCCGTTCCTGCCAGCGGGCCCCAATCCCCGGTACCTGCAAGGGTTCTGGCAGTCGGGCACCTGTGGGCTTCCTGAGAGCAGCCTAGCCAGCCAGCCAGCCTTCCCCGCATCCCCAGCACGGGCCCTGCACACAGCGGTGTCACGAGCCAAAGCGAACCACGTTTCCTGCCGCGACCAGGAAGCACCTGATGCATGTCCTAGCGTCCGTCTCTCCAGCACTGCTGTCTCCCAGGACAAGCAGCAGCCAACATGAATGTCCCGGCTGGGGCCTCGTCCAGAGGGGTGCTCATTCCCCAGCCCACCCAGAGCCAGGCCTTAGCCTCCTGTCCGGAACATTGCAGGCATCCCTTCCTCCTTCAGAAGCGAAACGGATGCCTCCAAAACCTGGGGCTGTGTAGGTCTGTCAGATGACAGCCTGGTCGGGGCGGGTTCTGGGGCAGGGGAGAGATCCATGGAGCTTCGCAGGGGAAAAAGAGCCATCTGCGATCTCACTGGGGAGATCCTTTGCTTGTTGGTTCTTTGAAGTGAGTATGTGAGTTGGGTGGGAACTTGGGGATCGTTTGACCCAGTCTCCTTCTTGTACAGCTGGGGACTGCCTCAGGGGGGAAGACCAACCCCCTACTCAACTGTCGATCAAGAGAACTGGGCAGGTGTCAGAGCAAACCTGTGGCTTCATGGTCACGTCTGAGCCCGCCCTTTAAGACTGAGATCGGGGCCAGCGTTGCAGCACAGTGCTTAGGACACCGGCATCCCATAACGGAGTGCCAATCAAGTCCCAGCTACTCGGTTTCCAATCCAGGTCCCTGCTAATGCACCTGGGAGGCAGAGGTGATGGCTCAAGCACTTGAGACCCTGCCACCCAAGTGGGAGACCCAGATGGAGTTCCAGGCTACTGGATTGAGCCTGGCCCAGCACTGGCTGTTTCCGGCATTTGGGGAGTAAACCAGCAAATGGAAACTTTCTCTCTCTCTCTCTTGTTCTCGCTGTGCCTTTCGGATAAGTAACTAAATGTTTCTTTTTTTAAAACAAAAAAGACCGAGCTCCATGGGTTGACGCAGGCAAGGCCCTGAGCCTGTGGTCCTTGTGCACAAGTGAGAGCAGGGCGCCACTTTCATGGGCAGGAGAGCTGTAAACCTCAGACAGGAGCCTGTTCCCCTCCAGTGCTGGCCTCCCTGGCCGCCGGCGGCTCTGAACTCCGGGTGTGCCCTGGTGGGGATCCCCGGGGAGGAAGCACATGCTACACGCCCATTACATCTCTGCTTCCTTCCTTTTGGCCTGCAGAATTCCAGAGGCAGGAAAGTGTCCGGTCCCAGCACAAAGGCATCCAATTATACGACACCCCTTATGAGCCCGAAGGCCAAAGCGGCGACTCGGACTCGGAGAGCACGGTGAGCCCCCGGCTGCGCGAGAGCAAGCTGCCCCAGGACGACGACAGGCCTGCCGACGAGTACGACCAGCCGTGGGAGTGGAACCGGGTCACCATCCCGGCCCTGGCAGGTAGGGCCCCGCTAAGCGTGCACCATGGGAAAAAGGGTGTCTGTGCAGCCGTCTCCCCCTGCCCTGCCACAGGCTCTGGGGCTTCTACCAGCTGCATGGGCTGTGCTTTTTCCTGTTATAGCTGGGCCTTCAGAGATGACGTGGGTCCCTGAGGGAGGGGGGCCAGGCCGAGGACAAAATCTGGGTCTGGCTTGCAGGGTTCTGAGCCCAAGCTGTCATCTGCTGACTTTCTCGGTCCTGTGGAGGACACCCTTGCTCACTGAAGCCAAGCGTCCAGATTTTAGACTGAGCTTTCTAAGAAACTAAGAGAAAACCAGACCTCAAAGCAGTTCTTGGGGCCTGCACTGTGGTGTAGCTGGTAAAGCCGCCACCTGTGATGCAGCATCTCATATGGACACTGGTTCGAGTCCCAGCTGCTCCAGTTCTCATCCAGCTCCCTGCTAATGTGCCTGGGAAGGCAGCGGAGGATGCCCTAAGTCCTTGGGCCTCTGCACCCACGTGGGAGGCCCAGACAAAGTGCCTGGCTTCAGCCGGACTCGGCCCTGGCCATTGAGGCTATTTGGGAGTGAACCAGCAGATGGAAGCTCTCACTCTCACTCTCTCTGTCTCTCTTTCTGTCTCTCTCTAACTCTGCCTTTCAAGTAAAATAAATCTTTGAGGGAAAAAAAAAAAGATCAACAGGCGGCAGCAATTTAACTCTCACCACATTGAAGGGCCTGGGGGTATGTTGGGCCTAGGGAACCTGCAATTTGTTCATAAACTACTAGACCTGTCTTCTCTTTCTAGCGCCCAGCAGGGAGCCCCGGCCTGGTCCAGGGCCCCTCAGCTGATGTCTGAGCTGTCCCAGAATATGCTACTCATAGTTCCCTGGGCACAGCGTGCCACGTGCAGAGCCCGAGTTCCTGCCCAGACACCTTCCCTGCCTCCCCCTACCCACGTCAGTCCTGCGCCTGGTGGCAGGCCCAGCTCAAATGTAGCCGTGTATGCTGCAGACTTCCTTGTGGTCCCACCTCACCCCCCAACCCCCTGTCTCCCCTGGCCTGTCGAGTTGGCTGCATGCGTCACTAGGGGGACCTTTCTCACACCAACTCAGAATTAGTTCTGTAGGTGTCGGTCTCGCCTGTCAGGCCATGAGCGCCTCAAGGATACCCTGTCTCGTCACCTTTCTGCAACTGCAGGGCCTGGCTGAGAGCCAAAGACAAGGTGGCCCTGTTGCTGGAGGAGCTCACAGGTCTCTGCTGTGTTCTGCAGCTGCCTCTCTTCACAGACCTACGGGAATCCACAAGGTGCCCGGGCCTCTCCGGGTGTGGAAGGAGCTGGTGCCTTCCAGGCTCCGGGCAAACAGCAGTTTGATGAAAGGGCTGACAGGCTCCTGTGGCGATTCCAGTGGACACCAAGGGCCACGTAGTGAGAACAGCAGGTGCAGGCTCTCACCCTGGCCTGGTCCAGCTGCTCACAGGTCACACAAGGGCAGCTGTCTCGCTGCTCAGAGCACGGTCCCTGGACTAGCAGTGTCTGTGTCCCCTGAGAGCCAGCTAGGAGAACAGGGCCTCAGGCCCCACCCTAGACCTGTGCAAGCCAAGTCTCATTGGTTTAAGATTGATTGATTGGGGCCGGCGCTGTGGTGTAGCTGGTGGAGCTGCCACCTGCAGTGCCGGCATCCCATGTGGGCGCCCGTTCTAGTCCTGGCTGCTCCACTTCCGATCAAGCTCTCTGCTATGGCCTGGGAAAGCAGTAGAAGATGGCCCAAGTGCCTGGGCCCCTGTGCCCACCTGGGGGACCTGGGAGAAGCTGCTGGCTCCTGGCTTCAGATTTGCACAGCTCCAGCCATTGTGGTCATCTGGGGAATGAGCCAGCAGATGTAACACCTCTCTCTCGCTCTCTCTGCCTCTGCTTCTCTGTAACTCTGCCTTGCGAATAAATGGATAGATCTTAAAAAAAAAAAAAAAAAAGTTGATTTTCAGGAGTGACAGAGAGGAGGAAACAGAGAAATCTTCCATCCAGGTCTCCCATGTGGGTGGCAGGGGCCCAAGCACCTGGGCCATCTTCCGCTGCCTTCCCAGGCACTTGAGCAGGAAGCTGGATAGAAAGTACTGCAGGCGGGCCTCAAACTGACACTCTGATACCGGATGCCGGTGTCGCCAGCAATGACTTCACCCAGCGTTCTGGCTCTGCTTTGACAAGTTCCCCAGGCGGTGTGTGTGGACGTGGGAGTGAGAAGCACCTCCACTGCAAGACCACAACTTTCCTGTGGTTCTCGGGCAAGAACCTTACCCCCCCCCCCCCACACACACACGCACGCACGCACTTCTGCCCAAAGGACCCTGAGGCCTCAGCACCATCGGTTTCTGAGCCCACAAGTCCTGGTTACTGCCCCGGGGTCACCACATATCTGACACCCTGGACTGCTAAGAGAAGACAGATGCGGACTCCTGTCCCTGTCTCTGTCTCGTCAGGTCACTTCCCTTTGCGTCTGCTGCTCCAGAGCTGGTGCTCCTGGCTCTGCTCTGGTTGCTGGGGCAGAGACAGCACTGTGCTGGAGGGATGCTGTGCACACTGGCCTTTGGTCAGGACTGCATCCTGCCTGGCTCCGTGGGCAGAGGCTGTGGGGCACGGCATTGGCAGGCGAGACGCACCTCCGCGGGTCCCCATGCCCTGAACAGAAGTGGAGTGAGAGGCGGCAGGGCCACCTGTCAGGTAGCAGGGCTGTGTATATGTGTGGACGTCTTCTTCAGAAAGTCACCCGTGTGGCCAGGGAGTGCCTGGCTGGGCCCTGCAGTACCAGTACCCATCAGGAATGCCCACACGGTCCCTCTTGGCTCTTGGGCGCTCACTGCCTGGAGCTGGCAGCCTGGGGTACAGGATCCGTGGCTGGGTAGCGAGCCCGTCGTGTGAAGTTTGCTGGGCAGAATCCTCCTCCTCTGTGTTCCACCCTTGTATTCTCTGCTTCTGCATGTTTAGCCTGGAAGGGAAGCTGCTCAGTGGTTTCAGGTTTCCAAAGCATGTAGCACTTGGGGCCCCTGTGGGCTGAGCCAGGCTTGCCAACACTGAGGCACGGGGATTTTGGCCCAGGTGAGCAGTGAGCATTCCACGTGGACCTGGCAGTGTGTCATGAGCTGTCCCTCCCCGCCCTGGGGAGGCCTGCAAGCTGGCCTGGCCCTGCAGCAGGGGGAGCTGGCCCCGAACTCAGTTGCAGGGGTGCTGCCAGGCTTCATTCTAGTGGGGGACCCTAGCCTGCTGCTCAGAGACGGGCGAGGGGAGACCAGGCTCTCTGTGTCCTGGCTGTGGTGCCACAGTGCCCTCCGTCCTCTGGTGCTGCCTGCACGGCCGCTGTGCAGAGAGGCCCTTTGCCAGGGAACCACGGCCTTTCCAGGCTGGCGGCTCTGGCCCAGCCTATGCAGTCATGACCTCCGGTTTCAATCGGGCTGCCCGCAGCCTCCGATTCTGTCTCCAGTTGTCATAGGCTGTAAGGTGTCCTAGCTCCTTGGGATTGACAGCCCCCTTCTCAGTCTGCACCGGAGCTGAGGGGTGAGAAATCCCACATGCACTCCCAGGAAGCCTGGGTGTTCGCTACATACTCTCACTCCAAGAAACTGGTGTGGCCTGTGCTCACAGAGCCCAGCCCTAGTCCCCGGGACACACACGGGGCCAGGTGTCACCACAGACTCTGTGGCGTCCATCAAGCTGTCAGCCCCCATCTCACCTGCCAGAGCTAGCTGAGTCACTCCCTGCTCTCCCTATATTGTAATCTTTTTTTTTTTAAAGATTTATTCATCTGAAAGGCATTGTTAGAGAGAGGGAGAGACAGAGGCAGAGAGAGAGAAAAGTCTTCCATCCCCAGGTTCACTCCCCAAATGGCCAAAACAGCTGAGGCTGGGCCAGGCCGAAACCAGGAGTCAGGAGCTTCTTTTAGGTCTCCCACGTGAGTGCGGGGACCCAACTGCCTGGGCCATCTTTCACTGCTTTCCCAAGCACATTAGCAGGGAGCTGGATCTTAAGTGCAGCCGGGACTTGAACCGGCGACCACATGGGATGCTGGCGTTGCAGGCAGCAGCTTTACCTGCTACGCTATGGTGCTGGCCTCTCCTTTGGAGTCTTCACAGCAGTGCATTGTGAGGCCCCATGGAAGTCCAGAAATGGCCTCCTCTCCCGGAGCACCACCTGCCATACAGCTCTGAGCCCACCTACGAGTGCACAGCCCAAGGAGCCTGGAAGGCTGCCACCCTGTCTGGTGGTAGGTCTGCCCGGCCCCAGGCTTTGTGGTGCCGATGGTGAGGGGAACAAGTGGAGGCTGCACAGAGGGAGAGGCCCACGGGCAGCAGCAGCAAACCTGGTGGAGGGGGCAGGGGTTGTAGCTGCCCTGGGAGCCCCGGTGCCCGCACGTGGGAAGTGCGACAGGGAGTCCCTACTGCAGGGAAGTGCAGCGTCCCGGCCAGCGCTCATCCTCCTCTGGGAGGGCCAGTGTCTCCTTCCACAGATAAGGGAACTAAGGCCCAAAGACAGGGAGGAACCAGCTGGCCAGTGGCTGGCCAAGTGCTCCAGAGCCCACGCCCTCGTCCTGTGGGATGCACGCCTCCCCCGTGCTGGCCAGCATGCATGACTGGAACTGGGGGAGGCCTCCCATGCTGTCCCACAGTGCATACCTCCCACAGCCTCGGCTGCTGCGGTGCCGCTGGCGAGGTCCCTGCTGAGCGCAGGGCCTGCCCACACGGGAGCCACCAGAGTCGTGCTGTACACTGGTCACGCTCTGCCACCCCTCAGAACAGGGAGGGACCCCGCTCCACATGGCCCACTTCCGCTGTGCTTCTGGGGAAACTGAGGTGGGGGGTGGGGCAGGGGGCTTCTGAAGACTCCCTGGCCAAACCAGCCAGGCCAGACACAGGAGATGAGCTCAGTGGGTGGAGCTAAGGGTGTCTTCACTCGCAGTAGAGTCTGAGCTGCAGGTAATTGGGGTGCTCGGTGGAGGAGCCGGGCGGCAGAGGTGTGTGTGAAGGGCTCTC